CCAATTAGCTGAATTAACTCATGACATAGCCAACGCAATCAACGATAACGTCCAATTAGATGCTATATTTTTAGACTTTTCTAAGGCGTTCGACGTTGTCCCACATCTGGATTTAGTCAAAAAACTAACGGCTTTTGGTATTGATATCAAAATAATATCCTGGATCAATAACTTCTTAACTAAACGGAAACAAAGCGTTAAAATTGACAATCAGCTATCAGAACCACTTGATGTTTATTCTGGTGTACCTCAGGGATCGGTTCTTGCACCTCTGCTATTTTTAATGTTTATTAACGACATCCACTTTTCCGTTGAGAACCCTATTCAGATGCGTCTGTTTGCCGACGACTGTGTCGTGTACACAGTCGTGCGCAATTCAGACGACCAAACTAAACTTAACAATTCACTTCAGGCAATTATTCCTGGTGCAATACTTGGGGCATGAAATTAAACACATCAAAAACGCATTGCATTTCTTTTACAAATAAGAAATCCCCCTTAACTATACATATAGGATTGGAAACTCAATTATCGAAAAAATGCAATCAAGTAAAATACCTAGGCATTACACTCACGCCGAATCTTAATTGGGAACCACACATCTTGGCCATGTGTCAGAAAGCGGAAAAGAAATTATCTTTCTTAAGAAGAAAACTGCGCAATGCACCACCACATATTAAAATAAATGCCTACAAAACACTAATTAGACCATGTTTAGAGTACGCCGATCTCATCTGGAGTCCACATCAAAAGTACCTGATTAGTAAAATAGAACGAATACAAAAATTGGCAGTAAGGTTCGTATATTCAGAATTCGCGAGGTTCACTGCACGTGCAGTCGAGCACTGCGGGCGGTGGAGAGGTTGAAGCGAGACATTAGTGTGTTGCGAGCTGGCGAAGGAGCCAGCAGCTGCTGCAGGTGAGGGAGAGAGGGACGTCAACGCACAGCTGCAACTTGACCTACTTGGCACCGTTTCAACAACTGCGGCGAGGGAAGCGCGGTGCGGCGCGTTGGCACGGTAACACGGACGGACAGCGTTACACAGGCTAGTTATAAATAGCTGCTTCGCATATAAAAACCCGGAAAAACGTTTCATTGTTGCCGCCTATTTAGGAGTTGAACCCAGCACTTTTCAGTCTACGACGATACGTGCCAGGCGCTCTATGCACTTCTCTACCGCTAGACATTCACGGAGTTCTTCAAACACGCTTAGTATTAATCCCGTCATCTTCATTTCATTAATGGCACTCTTGGTTAACAACGGTGGTACAGCCATGTAGGAGTGGTGAAACAAAGTTATGCATCATGACACCAACGAGCGTGTTCATTTTTTTTTTGTTCCCCTTTTTTTTCTCTTTTTTTTTTTCTCTGGCATGTATGTATTTCGATGTATCTGTGTACCCACTCCTGCTTGGGCCGTGAAGGGCCTGCAGTATATTCAAATAAAAAAAAAAACTAATTAGGATCGCACCTAATAAACCGAAGCTGATTTGACTTTACTCCCATAAGATCACGCAAATTAGGAGTGTGCTAACCAAGACTGTTATTTAAATACTTGCTAATCAAGAGCTTGTTAATGAAACCCAAAGTAATTGTAAACGTGTTATTGAAACGCACGAACAAAACAATACTGTTCAATACTATGTTAATTAAGCGCTAGCTAATTAGTTGCACCCGAGAACGACCTGACGTGGTCTTTTCCGAAGCAGATCGCGCAGACTGGGTAGATGAGCCACGCAAAAGTTGGCAGAACCTAGGTGATCACAAGCTCATTTGATAGCTCCAGCCTTGCACATGTAGTGCAAGCTGAGAAATTACTTTATATGCACCTTAGAATCTACCGCATGAAACCCTTGATAGTCACACCACCACTATGATGACAGTCACGAGTTAAATTGGGGCCTTCTCGGACTCGAAGAGTCTGTTCCCACGTCGATCAGTTAGATTGACAGAAGCCCACAGCGAAGATCGGATCTGCCCACCGCGTTTGTGCTTACTGAAAAGCAGCGCTCAGGCTACATCAGCGAGCGGCACGATTCATCTATCAGTTGATCACACAGACTACGCACACAGGCACCATGAAATGTCATAATATCGCCTGGCTACTTATGTCTTGAAGTGCATTTCGCGGAACCGAGGACGTACAAGGGGGGGAGGGGGGGAGTGTCGGATGTTTTCAGGCCACTATCTCATGTATTCCTGTGTATTCCTATGAGAGCATCACCAGAGAACTTTTGACCTCGCCCCCCTCTCTGTACCTCTCACAACCATGAAGCAATCGCCCCTGGTGCCATTCACGGCCATTGTTACGACTAACTTATTTGGGGAGACATTGTTTCTACGATACGGAACTGCAGAAAAATATTAATATGTGTCATGTAAGTAGCAATAACCTGTCTATAAGTTTACCTGTAACACTCAATGTAAGCGAAACTGCACGAGAATGCTGCGTGTGCCTCGCCGTGGTGGCCTGATTGATTGATTTGTGGGGTTTAACGTCCCAAAACCACCATATGATTATAAGAGACGCCGTAGTGGAGGGCTCCGGAAATTTTGACCACCTGGGGTTCTTTAACGTGCACCCAAATCTGAGCACACGGGCCTACGACGTTTCCGCCTCCATCGGAAATGCAGCCGCCGCAGCCGGGATTTGAACCCGCGACCTGCGGGTCAGCAGCCGAGTACCTTAGCCACTAGACCACCACGGCGGGGCGCCGTCATGGCCTAGTAGCTAAAGTACTCAGCTACCGACCCGCAGGTAGCGGGATCGAATCCCGGCTGCGGCGGCTGCATTTTCGATGGAGGCCAAAAGGCTGTAGGCCCGTTGTTACATTTTGCCCGGCAGTTTGTCGTAGCATATGTCATTGTGAGTAAGCTTGTCTGCTTTGACCCCAATATCGGTGCCTGGTCGGAAGCACATAACACGAAGCTGTCCTGCGGGTGGACCAGGCAGTTCGCTGTGGTCGGGTTACTAGGAACTCGACCAAAGCTTCGCGAACAACTCTTTGTTGTGCGGGGTCGAACCGCGTGAAACAGCGTCACTATTGTAGTTCTCAAGGAGCCAACATCTCCACTCAGATATTGTCGCTTACCACGGGGTCTGGACAAAGAACTGACGGTTCAGAAGCGTGGGATGGCGTAGCCGTAGCAGCTCTCAGGATTTGAGCATCTGAACAACCGTGTTCTAGAAGGTTCTAGAACACTCTACCTGAACGCAGGCAAGAAACGCTGCGAACGTTCGTGTCATCAAACATCTTCCCGTAGAGGATCTCAACTTTACCCCTCCACCGTACTCTACTTCCTCGCCCTGTGTAGTCTTCAAGGCGTGGGCTGGATGCGTCATTGTGTGAGGCGCTCATATCACCCATTGAGCATTTTCACCCGTGTTTCTCAAGAGCCGAGTATTCGATGTCTGCACCCTTTATGGTGAGTAGATTATCATCGTCATCAGCCTGACTACGCCCACTGTAAGACAAAGTCCTCTCCCATGAACCGCCAGTCAACTCGGTCCTGTGCTTGATGCTGCCATTTTATACCCGCAAACTTCCTAACCTCATCTGCCCACCTAACATTCTGTCCTCCCCCTGACCCTCTTGCCTTCTCTGGAAATCCAGTCAAAACCGTTAATGGCCAGCGGCTATCCTGCCTACGTGCTGCATGCCCGGTCCATGTCCATTTCTTCTTCTTGATGTCAACTATAATATCCTCAACCCCGGTTTGTTCCCTGATTCAGTATGCTCTCTTTTTGTCTGTTAAGGTTACACCTATCATTTTCCTTTCCATCGCTAGCTACGCCATCCTCAATGCAAGCTGAACTTTTTTTGTAAGCCTGCAGGTTTCTGCTCCGTATAGGTAAGTTCCGGCAAGATGCAGCTGTTATATGCCATTCCTCTTGAGGGATAGTGTAAATTACCAGTCATGATTTCCGAGTGCTTGCCGAGTATGCTTTAGTCCATTTTTATTCTTCTAGTTACTACAATCTCGTGGTTTGGCTCCGCAGTTATTACCTGTCCTAAGTATGCGTGGTGTTTTACAACTTCAAGTGCACTATTACCTATATCGAAGCGCTGTTCTCTTCCCAGGCTGTTTCACATTATTTTTCGTAGGTTAATTTTATGGCCCATCTTTCTGCCTTCCTTGTATAAATTGGTAATTATGAGTTGCAATTAGTCTCCAGTGTTACTCAGCAATGCATTGTCATCGGCGAAGCGCAGCCTACTAAGGTACTCTCGATTACTTCTTATCCCTAACATCTCCCATTCTAGGCCTCTGAAAACCTCCTGTAAGCATGCGGTAAATAGCATTTGGGAGATTGTACCTCCTTGTCTTACACCATTCTTCCCTGATTTGTCCCCTGATTCGCGGCAACAGTGATTACCACCTTCTTTTGACTGCCGTGTGAGGAAAACAATGGGCTATAAAAGCCGAAGGCATTTGTGCAAAATCGCTGAATCCTTGTACACTTCCTTTTTCTTTTCCATCATGTGCATAAATCTACGTTCTGTCTCTGAGAATGCATCTCCTCACTGGCGAAGATCGGCTATTAGGACGACGGTGGGGAGCCAGCTACAATAAAGAAACCCGCCGAACCTCCCACACCTTTTGCTACTGGTGGCAGCGGTAAGATGCCGCATCAACCGAGAGTCCTTCACACCATGTGCTCAGATTTGGGTGCAAGTTAAAGAACTCCAGGTGGTGGAAATTTCCGGACCCCTCCACTACAGCGTCTTTCAGAATCATATGGTGGTTTTTGGACGTTAAACCCCACATATCAATCGAGAATGCTGCGTGTACGCCCTTGTTGCCTTCGACAGGGGAAATTTTCACGCTGCAGGTGGGAGGAAAGAACTTGTCCGAAAAAGAACAAACGCCCAAGAACACGCCTGTGGGAGGCGCAATATGAGCTGGCAAAATTGATTGATTGATATGTGGAGTTTAACGTCCCAAAACCACCATAATATTATGAGAGACGCCGTAGTGGATGGCTCCGGAAATTTCGACCACCTAGGGGTCTTTAACCTGCACCCAAATCTGAGCACACAGGCCTACAATTCTGCCTCCATTGGAAATGCAGCCACCGCAGCCGGGATTCGATCCCGCGACATGCGGGTCAGCAGCCGAGTACATTAGCCACTAGACCACCACGGAGAGGCTTGAGCTGGCAAAAAAAAAAAACAAAATAGCGCCATGATCACACTGACATGGCTGCCTTGTTGAAATGTTAACCACGTGGCGGTGCTGACGAGCTCACCCCAGTGTTGTTATGCAAACCGCCATAAATACTACGCATGCACTCTTGACGCTGTGCTCGTTCTTGTAGCCGTTTTTATCAAAGCTGCTATCATGTACTCCACACTGCCTTGGTATAATAACCACCGCATTGCAAGGTTGAAACTAACTCGCCCACCGGCGAAGCTCGGGCTATCCTGCCTATAGCACCACTGGGTCCTTTGGTGCTAATGTAATGGAAGTAGTTTGCAGGCGCTTGCACGGCCGAATAATTTGAGGTGCATTTTGAAACCAAACTCTCGTCATTTTTCAGAGGCAACACATCTTTTCCTAGTTAACGTACTGTTTGTCGAGCAGTCACCTCGAGATTACGTAACCCCGAGACTACTCAGCCACAAAATGGGTGCAGGATAATTTTATGGGCATATAGCTGTTTCTTTGAGCCGATTAAGTTGTTTGAGGATCCATGACTTTTTTGAGGCGTTGACCCAAAGCGATCAACGCCTATTTTGCTTACTTAAAAGCAGCCCGCAAGATCACTTACTTTTTCTCACCAGACAGTGCTTTATGTCGGTCCACAAAGGCTTCACTGATGTCATTTCCATCAAGCAAATGACGTTGCTAAAATGCGTACCAACAAATAAGAAAAATTATGGACCATCTACCCGAGGGGAACCCCAATGGGATGAGAAGCAGCAGCGGTGCGCACGGCGTTGACCCCGTTGATACGGACGTCGAAGCGGGAGTTCGAAGACAGGTTTGAAGTGAAACTTGGTGTAGCATTTGCTCGAGTAAACGTTTGTTTGAAACGCAAAGACACGGGAGGCGGGGTGGGTTTTGTGTAAGTTTCATCGCATTTAAACGAGAGTGTTTTCACTCCACGTGCGGTCGAGCACTGCAGGCGGCGGAGAGGTTGAAGCGAGAGAGAAGTGTGTTGCGAGCTGGCGAAGGAGCCAGCAGCTGCTGCGGGTGAGAAAGAGAGTGACGTCAACGCGCAGCTGTGACTTGACCTACTTGGCATCGTTCCAGCAACTGTGGCGAGGGAAGCGCGGTGCGGCGTGTTGACATGGTAACATGGACGGACAATGCTAGTTAATGAGCTGCTTCGCATCTAAAAACCCGGAAGAACGTTTCATTGTTGTGACCTAACTAGGAGTTGAACCCAGCACTTCTCAGTTCACGACGATTTGTGTCAGGCGCTCTATCCACTTCTTTAGCGCTAGACATGCACGAAGTTCTTCAAACACGCTTTGTATTACTCGCGTCATCTTCCTCTCATCAATGGCGCTCTTGGTTAGCAACAGTCGTACAGCCATGTAGGAGTGGTGAAACAAAGTTAAGCATCATGACACCAACGGGCGTGCACAGTGAGCACTTCCGCAACTTAGGTCAACGCCTCCTTCAGCTCAACGGATGCTGTCAGTGCAGTGCTCTGCATACGTCGTGATTCGATTCGGTCACCAAGCAGTTATGTGCCTGGTCTCTCGCGTCGTATCAGCATGTGATGCCTCGTCGCCAGCTTAGTGCAGCTTTAATGTGCACTAACAACGATCACCTCAAGCTGCACAATCTTTAGTTCACTCGGTTAGCTTTATGTGTTTCCGGGGAAAATTTCACAGAAATGAACGGGTGTGCTAGATGTGCAAGCAGAGTAGGAGTCGCAAAAGCGGTGCTTGAACCACATGTGCTATTGTGTGATAGGGCGAACTAGACTAGTTTTTACTCGCAACTGCACTTTTCCTGCTTACATCTTATCTGTGTGTAATCTTTACTGTAAGTACACTAATTTGTTTGTAACGGTACCAGGTCTTCTTACTAGTCTACTCTAATAATGCAAGCTCTTGTGCAGGTAATTGTTCTGTCTTCGAGCAGGCCTCAAAACTCTGGCTGTATATGTTTGGATGCCCAAAACGCTGTTTTATAAATAGATTCGAACAAAAAGTTAAGATTGCATACAACCTGTGAGGAAAAGATATCAAAGGACAATATAATGTTTTCAAGTGATCTGACTACAAAGGATGTTTTGCTTTGATAAAACTTGATTTAGGATAAACATGGCTCAATTAATAGGTACCAGTAACTATTCCTCTAATTAAATCAAGCTCAAATAAATTCAAACCACAACTTCATTTACGTTTACGGAATACCATTTAATATCTATGCAGTATTACAAGAATTGTAAAAACGTATGCGTGTCACTTACTTCCTCTCCCTTACAGTCAAGTATGTTTCCTGCGACGAAAAGGGGATGGTATGTTTTTCTCTGAAGAAATAAATGAGACGCTCCTCATTTATACATCCTGATAGGCAGGTATAATTGAAGATTATGCGTTTTCTTGGAAAAACGTTAGTTTTTAACTATTATACCAGGGGAAGAAGACAAGTAAACGAAAGAACATTTTTGTAGAGAATTAAATATAAAGCAGTATTCCATTCACACGGAAGCTACATTTACGGCACAAGGACATGGGCTATGAAAAAGAGCTTTTGAGAGCGCGGAGAAAATGTGGAAACCTGATCGTTAATAAAAATGGTTTGCTGATGATAGCTATTAAGCATATGCGTTGACTTTATAAAGCACTTTCTTATAGGTACGCCGACTTAACCACTACACAGAGTTTAATAGAGCCAGATAATGAAGAACAGAAAGAGTTCGTGATATACACTAGCCAAAGCGGCCTATTTCGAGTGGTGTAGGAGACTTCGCCTGACCCGTTCAAATGCGTGGCATGAAGCTGTTTCTCAGTCTCCATTTCGTTTACACCTTTCCCACCTCATTCCCAACAGCGGCCAAGAGTTGTTCTTTCCTTTATTAAAGGTCACATTCGTTCATTTATAGGTTAGGGCACCCCAACATGCATAGAATTGGCGCAGAATTATCGACAATGAGTGTCGTGTTTAATATCAGACAATTATACTTTGCATTTAGGTGCAAACAATCACGGCCTTAAACATGGCTTTGCAAAGGTACTCAGTTTTACACAATGACACTTTAGTTAGCTATTATAGAATGAATGATCACCTTTTCATTGTTTTAAATTGTCAGAATAATAAATTTATGGATGTTCATGAATCGATCTTCATGAATTCATAGATCTCTCCACTCACAGGTCACAACATTCACCTCCTTTCGCCATCTTTTTTCCATCGTGCGCTGGTTTACTATCGGCAAAGTACACATGGTGCTTACTTGCTCTATTGCGTTATTATTACATATAGGTGTGTACGGCTTCCTTAGTCATGTTGTAATGGCGAGCAGTCGCAAGAGGAGCACGGTGCATACGTTGTTCACAGAATATACGAAAACGACAACTGCGGTATGTGATTAAGAATGTAAGCAGTTGTTGATGCCAGCGGTGGAAACTCTTAAGATATCAGCTGCTTCACGCCAACTTTATCAATAGGCCAAGAGTCTTCCTCCCAAGAAAAAATGGTTATTACTCAAATAACAATGTTCAGGACGCTGTTTCCGAAGGCACCAACTCGCATCTTCGGGTAAATTATCCGTACCTAGTCACTTAGCCAATAGCCTTTGTTAACTTATCTTGAATATCAAGTCGCTTTTTAATTACACAAGTGATTATTATTTTTAAAAAAGGTGGACTGCTTGTAGTTCATATTCGTCCAAGAACCTTGACCTTGGCAGGGACCTTCTTTTGTCCCATTGTTTGCTGCGCTTTGGCGACATTGGATAAAAAAAAGTAAGGCTTTGTGTAAACGTTAAACTCAGCAGAGAAGTTTACTGTTTCCTGTACATTTCAGACGTGCGTGCGCATCGTCTATTTGCTTATTTTGTTCGTGCTGTTTCAACGTGTTTCATCGATCAAGCTCAGCTCTCTTTGACTTTCATAAACTCGCGAGTTTCTTAACCTGCTCTGTCTATGCCAACATTCCGGGCATCTTATTTCACTCTCAGGTCTGCCATGGTGAATCAGTAGTAACAGCGCTCGGCTGCTGACCCAATGGTTGCGAGGTTCTAACCCTGGCGCACCTTGATGGAGGCTGAATGCTGGAGGACCGCGTAATGTGCAATGCACGTTAAAGGAGACCAGGTAGTCGAAATTTCCGAAGACCTCCATCTCAACGTCCCTCATAACCATATCGTATCATGGTCTGGGGGCATAAAATTGTGCATGTTACTAAACTCTTAGGCTTCATGTTTTTTTCTTGTAGTTTAACAGCACTATACAGTGGTTGAAGACGATCCACATGGTAAATGCGTTATTTATTGAGTGGTTCCTATCGCTGTTATATCTTATTCCTTAGCAAATAAAGTAACATTATTCCCCAATGTGACGGAGAGAATATTTATGACAAGGCAGAGAGGTTGGCTTGAACTAGTACACTCACGCCACCCTCTCTGCCTACTCCGCTCTATGACGCTGAAAATAGAGACTCTGCAGCCCTCTTGACATAAACACGAATAATAGCAAAACCCCGGCTCATGCATAAGATATTGTATCCACATGAAGCGCAACAGTTGCCGCCTTTGGTTGAGAGAATGTGCAGCGCAAGGAAGCGCACATGCGGATTATGAGACTAATCAAACAGATCCCGGAAGAAGGTCACTTTGAGCCAACGTTTGCACTCTCCCGCCTACCAGCCTAGAGGCCTCGGTTTTATACTGTGACGCAAAAGGACAGTCACGAAATATTATATGATTATTGCCTGACCACGTCGAGCCAGAACGATCCCGGTCAGGTCTTCACGGTGGGCTATAGTCGTTGCGATGCTCTACAGTTGACTCGAACGTCGCGGGATTGAAACCTGGCCCCGGCGGCCGCTTTTTCGAAGGAATCAGAAATGCCTGTGGCTCGTGCCCTTAGATTTAAGTGCACGCTTCAGAACCTCAGGTGCTCGATGTTCCCGAAGCCCTCCGCTTCAGCGTTCCTCATATTCATATTGTGGTTTTGGTATGTAAAACACCACATTATTATTATTATTATTATTATTATTATTATTATTATTATTATTATTATTATTATTATTATTATTGTTATTGTTGTTATTGTTGTTATTGTTGTTGTTGTTGTTGTTGTTGTTGTTGTTGTTGTTGTTGTTTTTGTTGTGTTGTTGTTGTTGTTGTTGTTGTTGTTGTTGTTGTTGTTGTTGTTGTTGCAGTTTCGGCTGTAAGCGCGATTGAAGATGTGTGTGTATAGCGCCGACTTGAGGCAACGACGAGGGGAAATGTGAAGAATACACTCGCGCATATGTTGTTCATTTTAACCGGGTGGCAAAAACTCATATCGCTCTACTTACTGCAGGGCGACTGTACCGATAGCCTTGCTGAGATCAGTACGTTGCTGTGCAATCTCGCACGGCTGACTTCAAGTTAAAGATCACGTCAGTCTGCATTCATACTATTATTGAGAACTTCCGCAATATCTAATGGACAAACAGAGAAAACATGCCGCCCCAAAGCGAGAGCGTCTTATTCACTACCACATCTTCCTCATCTCTGCTTTGTTCTTCGCGGGATTTCCTAACCATCGGCTACGCTTATTGTTTACGGTACGTCGTTTCTACCCCTGAGCTCACCAAAAACGCCTCAAATTCCGATGCGATCGAGTATATAGGGCGGCTCCGAGGAAATTCGACCTGTTGCTCATTCGTCCATGAAAAATGTCCACACATCCTTCAATCCGTGATGTAACCCAAACACGGCGGTTCCCCAGCGTCCACAGGGTGAAAGTGGAATTTTTCAAGATGGCGCAAATGTACACATGTGTTCTCCAGGATATCCGATAGACTTCGGTCGAATCAAAACACAAACAATGCTTCCAAAATAATGAGGTATCCTTTTTATAGCACATATCAAAAATGTGAATTATACGACTAAAACATCACATCAAAAGCACTTCGTCGAATAAACACTAAATGTATGAAATAATAACAATATTTGATTATAAAATTCAATCAACCAATCCTACTTCACCCCCAATTAAGAGGAACCCTGCGCACGCCTATGCCTTTCAGTATTTTTATTGTTGGTGAATGTTTGAAATTTTAATTAAGGGGACACTTTACATCAACACCAAGCCATTGATTTCCTAGGCCTGCAAGTCAGGTAAAATGTTTAATCATTCGCCCTCTATGTGTGTTTTTCGTAAAGTGATCTGAACAAACAAAGGAAGCCTAGATTTATCTGTGGATTGAGTAGTCTTAAAGAACGCAACTTATGATGGTACTATAGCTATCTACTGTTCATATGCTAGCTGCGAGATGGTAAACTTGTCAGAACGCTGAAAACGTTGAGTCTATTTATTGTCTGGCTTAAAAGTACGGCGTAACACAGATGTTGTAGTGTCCATGACTGGCTACAGCCATTGCTTAACTTGCTAACATGCTGCTGAACTATAACACTTAGAGCTCTTCTATTTGGTGTGTTAGTCTCAAGAAAGATATCTTGTACTCACACTGTTATTGTGTTGTGTCGTGCACTCCATACCCATGTACTATGACATGCAGAGTAAGTTACACGTTCATCTGTGTGGATTGCTATGACCTGCTGGCGACTATTTACATACAAAGCAGAGTGGTTTACATTAGACTGTGTGATAATATAAAGTGCAATAAATCTGCTTATTCACACTTTTCTGTCGAGCTACATGTGTCCTTTGCATGATTTGTATCTTCTTCGATCCACGCAATCAGTGCGTGCTCACATGGGCATCCCCATTTACAGGACTGATACAGGAGACCACTTATGGCACGGGCCTTCTCATTATTGTACACTCTTTTTGGCGCCCGTTTAAGTGGGTGCTAAAAAATTTAAGAGTGTAAAAGGCGGCACTTGCTTGATGTGTTTCTGCAACATCCTCCGTTTTTTTTTTTTTTTTTTTTACGAGTACGCTCTTGTAAGCACCATATCTGGAAGATACTAATTTAACAGCCTGAGTGTGTCGTCCCAGTGACAAGCCTACAGCCTTTTGGCTGCAAATGATTTACAGTGTGCATGTGGCATCGATTCTACGCCAGCCCATTTAATCACTGCGTCAATAATGTAGAGAGGTAAAAGCGCACAGAAAACACGGACGAAAACAGGCTCACATATGCGTTAACACCGACACAAGCACCTTAGTCCACGTATATGCATGCCTTTTTACGCCCGAGTTTTACGAGTGCTTTCACCACTCTTCAAAACTAGTTACGGCCATGCACAATGCCGCCATGTTCAACTTTATTTCACCAAAAGAGTAGAGGGATCCATTAATAACAAAGAAGCCTTTGGTACCCTGATCTTTTTTGCCAAACGTTCTCTCGATCCCCT